CCCCCCCCCCCCCCCCAGGTTAAAGATAAAGGTAAGGGCCCTGGTGATGTGGCTCAGTTCATTGGAGCATCATCCCATGGAGGTCATGGGTTCAATTCCTGGTCAGGGCATATACCCAAGTTGTAGGTTCGATTCCTGGTCGGGGTGTGTATGGGAGGCAACCAATCAATGTTTCTCTCTCTTTCCCTCTCCCTTACTGAAATCAATTTTAAAAAAACATATCCTTGGATAAAGATTAAAAATGGAAAAACAAACAAACAAACAAAGACAAGCAGCAGACCTAGCCTGAGCCCAGGGAACCTGAGGCACAGGGAAGTCCTGCCCATCCACCCACCTCCCCAAGCAGAGTAGTGAAGAGGTACCTTTGATATGAGCGCTGTCCAGCATGGGTACCAACGCCTCCACCTGCTCCAGAAGTGCAATCTGGGAGAGGATAAACTGCTCCTCTGAGGATAAACAGACAAGATAGTGGCAGTGAGGCAAACCTGGGCACTGCTACTCCAATGCAAGAGGCTGAGATCCTGGCAGGGGAGATGGCTGGGTCCTGGAGCTTGGAGCTACTGCCCACTGCCCCCTTCTCAAGGTGCACATTCCCCCATTCTGCCCCCAGACCCCTGAATGCCTCTGGTCTGACCCATCTTGAGCCCAAGGAGCCTCTAAGTTTCTCCAAATCCAACTTTTCTCCAATTTTTAACTTGAAGGCTCTTCCTCTAGCCTCAACAAATTCTGTGAGCCCCTCTGAGGCCACAGGAGACAAATTACTTCAGACTTAGGACCCCACACTCAGGGCTCCTGGGAAGGAAAGGTCTGAAAGAGGAGACGTGGCCGCGGCCAGGCCGGTTCTGCTCTGTGGCTCCGGAGAACTGGGGCAGTAACGAAGAGTCCAATAAGGAGAGTATGGCCCTGCGAAGGGGATTTCAATGGTTGCAAAGAGTGGGAAGGGCACCGAAGAAGGGAGGACTGTTAGGTCAAACATTTGGAAGCAAGAGTGCTTGTCAATTAGTAGCAGAAAAAGAATTTAAGTTGCTGAACTGGACAAAGGAGAGCACAGGAAACAGAGCTGGATGGGAGGGGAGAGCCAGCAAACTGTAGAAGGCTTTGAGTGGCAGGCTAAGGATTTAGGACTTTTATCCTAGCAAGGAGAGAAAGAAAGAGACACTGAAGTTCCCCAGTAGACAAAGCGGCATGTTGGAAATGTGTTTGGGAAAGATGACACTGGACCACATGCAAGAAGGGAAGGCTAGGGTCAAAAGAGGACTTGGGGAACTGTAACAGTTGATGTGTGAGTGGACGAACACTGAGGCAGCAGCCAGAGGGAGGGATGGAGAGGCTGGATTCAAGAGTTAGTGCAAGAGATTTCCTGAATTTGATGCAGTAGATGATTATTAAAAATCTTTTCAATGAATGAACAAACACAGATGCTTGGCAAACCCTGCCTCATGGAGTGGTTAACTAATTGATGAGCAAACATTGTCTAGAACTCTGAAATCCCAGAGCTTTCTCATATGAAAAAAAGATGTAGAAACTCATGCCAATATTCTCCTCTCCTAAATGCAATGCTCTCGGCTCCCACCCTTTCCTAGAAGCTCCTCTGTGAGCAGAAGTGAGAAAAGGTTCTACAGGAAAATTCTAGAAGTAGACCATTGATAGAACATTGGAGTCACTCCCACTGTGGCTAGTACCATGGCCTCCAGCTGGTTCAGAAGTACACCACATCCAGTGCCACTCGAGAACCACTGGACCACCTCAGCTTCAGCCCAGACGATGGCCAGAATTCCAGACAGCACTTTCCTGGGCTTTACCCATTAGGACTGGCAGGGAGGCCACCTCTGTGCCCAAATTCCCCCACAATCCACATCCCCAGATGCACGTGCATACCTGCTAAGATGAACTGCAGCTTAGAGGCATCAGGTATGGCAATGCGGTCAATGTACTCAGGATCCAGGTATTTGATCAGGTCTTCGACTAGAAAAGTAGCAAGGTAGAAAATGGATTAGGGTTGGGGAGTGAGGGTCTGTTTTATGAAGGATACTGGGGGAATGGTCCACCTTGGGGAGAGCCTTCAGTGAGGAGCTGACGCCTCCAGTGTCCATTAGCAGGCCTCTACCAGGGCTCCTAGCCATACTTCCCTGTCTCGCCCCTCTGATCACCTGCTGGCTGACCTCAAACTTTAGAGCTTGGAGCATACTGGGGCCTGCAGTATTCCCACTGACCTATGTTCACCAAGGGTGGAAGGCCCCTTGCCCCTCAGTGCCACCAAGACAACCAGAGCTCTATCTGATTTCTAATTACTGGGCAGGTTGCTGGCTGAGCCAAGGCTAGGACTCCAGTGCCTAATTAATTTCCCGCCTCTGAACCTTGCCTGTGGAAATCCCATACCTGTTCTCCATACTTCACCAAAGGGATCTTTCAGATAGAGCTCTTAGCCCATCACTTGGGACACTGTCATGGGCTTGGAGTTTTACCACAAAATAGAAAGCACAGCCCAATTCACCGTTTCAGCAGGGAAATGTCTTCACATTCCATCCCCGAAGGGCAACTCCAGTGACCTAATGGGCTGAAGGACCAGGGCCAGTCCTCAGGAAGTACAGGCATGGAAAAGAAGAAGGCAGGCAGGCACCCGACAGGAACTTACTTTTCTTGAACAGAATCTTCACTCTCTCTCTCTTACTCGCGATGTTCCCCAAAGCTACCTGCACCTTGACCAGGCCATCAGCCACCTGTAAGGGGAGTGAAAGTTACTTCCAAGATACACCACCTGGTTCAAGGCTTGGAAGATGTAAAGAACCCGCATTCCCTCAGACTCCCAAACCTCTTTGCCCCAGAAATCTAGGTTGGTCACTTTTTCTTGTATTAAAGGAGATGTAGCTCCACCTGCCAGGAATCCTCAGTGTGAACAGGGGGAGTTCCTAGTTTGATTGGGGAGATAAGGAACTATTTTAGAGTTTATGGGGCACTGGCATATACTATATATTCTCTGGTTCCCACCTCTCTGACTGAACCTACCTAGACTTTAAGGGTAGAGGATGAGGAATTCCAATATTAAAGGGCTGAATAGATGGAAAGGTAATGGCAGTGAATGATCTCACCCAAAATTCAAGGGTCAATTATATGGGGAGGCACATAAAACTGAGAAGCACAGCCATCCTTGCAGAAGGAAAACCATGAGGGTTAGCATCATAGATGCCAAAGGGAGAGAATGCTTTGCGAAGTCAGTTCTCAAGTGGGGCACAATCTGCTGGTACCAACTACTTCCACGGGAGTGTACAGATATCATTACCTCTGATGCACTTAAATCCAGGACATCCCTGACACTCCGCCTTCAGTAAAAGGTCTTCCCATAGTAAAAAGGGGGTAAGAGGACAACTGAGCTTCACGTTGTCAACATTCAGGTACTGGTGTGAAGACGTGCCAGTCCACATTGGAAAACCCGGTATCCAATCCCTTCCCCTCCTCATCCTAGTCTTCTCAGACCTCACCTCTCACCCGCACCCTCCCGCGCCCCAGAGCCTTCCTTGAGCACCTCTGCTCTGCCTCCTCTAATCCCACGGACCTCTTTCTGCACAATTCATTTAGCAATTAATTACAGAGGGCTTCATGCCACCCCTCCATTGTGGACCGCAGCTTCCCGAGGGTGTCAAGGCTCCCCCGCTGGCAGGAGCGGAGTCTTGGTCACGGTTCATACTGAGCCCATTTCAGACGGGCCCAATGCCCCGCAGTTCCCTGCATGGGCATGGGCATGGGCATGGGCCCCGAGGGTCCAAAATGCTCCGGGAGGTCTCGGACCTGTGTTATTTCAAAGGCCGGACTGTGGGCGACGGGACTGGAACCGCACCCACCGGAGGCACAGGCCAGCAGACCGCCCGTCTCGGCCTCAGAAAGGGACCGCTGCACCCAAATCGCTCACCTTCCGCGAGCCGCGCGACCCACCCGGTCCGTACACCCAGCGCTCCAGCTCCTCTACGCGGGCCTGTAGCCGCTGCACAACGGGCACAGCCGCCATAGCTACCGCCCCGCCTCGGCCGGGCAACAGCTGGAGGGCGGGACGTCCGTCCAAATGGAGAAGGCTAGCCAATCCGAGCGCACGGGCTCCCCTCCATTCAGGAAGTGATGTCACGACATAGGCCTTCAGTGCCGGAAGCGGCCGGCTGGGCGGGTGAAGAGAGTCGAAAGCTGTCTGGTTACCTAGGCAACGGCCACTCCTGTTTGTCAAGACCACCTTTACCTTTCTTTTTCTAATTTCAGGGGACCAAAGAGGTTTCTCCACCTCATTCCCCGAAGTTGCACATATAAATACACTCATTATTCCAGGGTTGGTCCATTCCTATAGAATCTATAGTATAGATCAATAGATAGCATAATCTTTTAGAGTCTAATAAGGTTCAAATGATGGGGCCACTCAGTATTATAGTGGCAGAATCAGGATTTGAACTCAGGCAGTCTGACTCATGAGACTGAGCTCTTGTATTCTCATGGGCCTTTGCTGTTCTGTCTTCCCTCTGAGAACCCTTGGCCCAACGCTGCCTGTAAACCACACACTTCCTTTTCCAACCCCCAGATACAAACAAGGAGAGGCACTGGGGAGGGAGGGACTACAGCTTTATTATCCAGATGTGACCTGAGGGACATCTCCTCCACGACATCCCAATCCAACCCTTCATATGGCTCCTGAAGAGAAGAAGCAGGTCTGACTCCAAGAGGTAGGGTCCTAGACATGACATTGACAAAGTGAGGAGACGATGGGGGCTTCTAGGGGCAGGACTCTTTGGTAGATGCTGCTGGAGTTGGTCAGAGAGGAAGTGCCCTCCCTTTACAATGAGGTAGATGTAACATCAAAAGAAAACTCTTTGGCTTCAAATCCACATGGCATGTGGGGGGGGAGTGGTCCCCTCCCAGGTCTGGGTCCTAAAGTGGGCCCTCTGGAAGAATCAAGGTGGAGGGAGTGTCTCCCCCCGCCCCCCCCCAGCAATGGGCTAGGACTCAATTCAAAGTGGGAGCTCTCAGGGTGAGATGCCAGAAGGGGGCCCTGTAGGGGTTGGGGGTACAGGGTTAATTGGGCCCTGGGAAGCTGGCACAGGCTGGCGGCGGGCAAAGAGGATGCCTGCCAAAGGGGTGAGGAGATGGTAGAGGGAAAATACAAGCAGGAGAGGGGATGACAGGGAAACAGAAGAAGGAAACAGAAGTTAGTGACCTGATTGCTAGAACACCACACACATACCTCTGCCACAAACCAATGAGGACAAACCCCTTGGGTCAGTCAGAGACTTCTATGCTAATATAGATACCCTCGAACAGGTAAACAATATTTACACTGATATATAGGCCCATGACAAGGCAGACATCCCATGGTACCCATGGTACCCATAGAGAGGTCATGCCTTCACCCCCATGCCATGTAGACAGTAGACAGACCCTTTAACCCATGCCAATGTAGCAATCCCCTGAACCCCATATTACCCATGCAAGTTTGGATATCCATGAATGTCATGCAAGTAGAAAAAGTCTAAAATCCCCATGCCAATGTAAATACCCCTGACCTCATGCCAGTGCAGACAGCATGCAGTACCTGTACCTGTGTAGACCACCCCGTTGATCTCTAGGGCCATGTTGATACTGCTGATACCACTGCCTGCCAGATTGAGAGGCCCATCCAGCCGCTCTTCTGTCCAGGAGAGGGCAGGGGAGTCACATTTTTGGGAATCAGACTTCAGACTTACAAGCTCCCCCCTCCATCCCTATAGACACCCCCCATTCGACTTCAGCCTCACATCTGTAATCACACAGTTGTCTATTTAGGGATCTATCTGCCCCACCTCCAATGCTTATCAGGTAATAGGTCTGTCCTCCCACAGTGCACAGGCCCCAAACCCTATCAGCAACAAGCCCTTCCTCACCCCTTAGGGGAACCTTGCCATGGGGCAGAAAACTTGGGGGTGCGCCAGGTTGAGGTGGGTCCATGGCCCCCATCAGCACAGCCCTCTTCTCTGGAGGCTCCTCTGGTGCTAACTTCTCCCGGGCAGGTCCCAAGGCCAGGCCCACAGGCAGTGCCAGTCGAGGGGTTGGAATTCCACTCTCTTCTGGAAGAATAGGTAATTCAGCTCCCCTGACCCAATCAAGTCAGTATCTGCATTTAGTTCTCCCCCCAGGCCTGGCACCAAGGGAGGTCAGTCACCCAAGTTCAAGCACCAAGTTCAATCCCCACTCCCATCCAGAGTCTCAGCCTAGAGGCTTGGAAACTGGAGAGCCCAAAGGGCTAATATGTTGATTTGTTGTTTAGAGAGAGAGGAAGAAAAAGAGAGAAACAGAGAGAGAGATGGGGAGGAGAGAGAGAGAGAGAGAGAGAGAGAGAGAGAGAGAGAGAGAGAGAGGTCAGTTGCCTCTGTAACCCAGGTATGTGCCTTGACCGGCAATAGAACCCACCACCCTCTGGTGTACGGGGAGGACGCTCCAACCAACTGAGCCACATCAGCCAGGACCCAAAGGGCCAATATATGTCTAAATTGGTCCAAAATGTGGAGGATCTCCTGTTCTCAGTTTAAATAATCCCAGGTCACAGAAGGCACAAACCACATGCAAATAGAACCCCCGGGTGAACAGGTGTAAAATGGAATTGCTTTGGATAAAAGGACCCTTCAGCCGCGTACCCACAGTAACCCCCTACTCCGGGGTTCCCAAAGCTTCATTTGACCCCAAACCCCAGGACCCCTAAGGTTAGGGTGCATCAAATCTCAGTGCCCCATCAGTCCCTACTGCCCCGTACCTCAATCCTCCCGCATCCCATAGTCCCCCTATGTTAACGTTCCCTATATCTCAGCGCACCCCTGGGTCTCCGTGACCCCTAAACCTCAACCCCTCCGCCCCTCACACCCTTTCTTAATGGGGCT